TGGTTTTCCTCCTTGCTTCCTTCTGTTATCTTTGTCACTATTGCTGCATGTGTATAATGTGTGTGCGTGCCACTATGGGTGTATGAGGTCCCAGGACAACCTGTGGGCAGCTTCTCTTTCCGCATGCAGCTCACGCAGAGCAAGCACTGCCGCCTGCAGAGTCACCTCGCTGGCTGGGATCGGTCTTTTAAGATATTGTTTTCAATTTTCACGAGTATGTGGAGGTTTCCTGGCGGCACGCACGCCTCTACACCACAGGTGTGCCTGGTGCCCACAAAGGAAGAACAGAGGGGATGTTGGTTCCCTGAAGCTGCAGTGCATAGACCTTGAGCTGCCATGCAAGTCTGAAGGTACAAACCTGAGCCCTCTGCACGAGCAGCCAGGGCTCTTAACTGCTGAACCAGCTCTCCTGCCCTCTCTGCGCTCATTCTTTTGTTGTTGTTGTTTTGTTTTCCGAGAGAGGGTTTCTCTATGTAGCCCTGGCTGTCCTGGACTTGCTTTGTGGATCAGGCTGGCCTCGAACTCACAGAGATCCTCCTGCCTCTGCCTCCCAAATGCTGGGATCACAGGTGTGCGCCACCTCACACAGCCATTGTGCGCATTCTTGAATTTCCATCTCCACAAGCAATACAAACTCACCGACTTCTCCTTCCTCCAGCTGCCGCTTTCACTGCCCCTTTATTCCTTGGGCCTCCATTAAGTGTCACATTAACAGTGAGGCGCGTCTTCCTCAAACATTCTTTTTAATTTTTTATTGATTTTTTTGAAATCGGATATCATTGTGTAACTCCGGCTGGCCTTGAACTCAAAGATCCACCTGCCTCTGCCTTCCAAGTGCTGGGATCACAGGCGTGTTTGGGGACCGGAGAAATGGCTCAGCAGAGAACTGGGGTGGCATTCCCAGCACCCATGTAGTAGCCCACAGCTGTCTGTAGCTCATGCCAAGCGTCTGCACCTCTGGTCTCAGGGATCTAGTGTTCTCTTCCCATCTGTGGACAGCAGACAGACATGCAGCAAAACAGCACGCATGCCAAAGAACTGCACCGTTAAGCCAGGCGTGGCCAGCGCAGCCGCCACTGCCACCGCTTTAATCCTGTCACATCTTGCTTCACCTTTCCTGTGGCACGGATCAGGTCTATGTCCTACTGCTTCTTTAGGACCTATTCCTCCCCACAGAATGTAAGCTTCCTAAGGGCAGGGACCTACATAAACATGGCCTGTTTACACAATGCTCAACAACGCACTGAACAAGCTAGGCGCAGTGATGCACCTACAGGCACAGTGGCTGAGGGCGGAGCAGGAAGACCTCTGAAGTGTCACTTTGGGGCCAGGCCGGGCAATGCAGACTATCACAAAAGCAAGGCTAGGTCCCCATGAGTCACCGCGAGGTTCCGTCCAATCTCTAAGTGATGACTTTGCTTTTCCTCCTGCTCCGTCTTCAGAGGCCGCCTGGCCCTTCCTGTGAAAAGGTTCCCTGATCCATCTTACTCTCTCTAAAGTGCCTCTTCCCACCCCGTGGCTGCCTGTGGCCAAGTGTGCCGGCAAACACACAAGTGCTGCTAGCTGAAGAGAGGCTGTGGCCGCAAGCAGACCGCAGCGTGGGCCCGCTGCCCGCCGTGGCTCACGGCCCCGGCGACCACAGCCGTGCCCCTCGCACCTGCCTCTTACTCCCACAGTCAAATGTGGGCTGCGCCCTTGCCAAAATGGCTTTGCCACCTCCAACCATCAGGTTCACCCAATCACATTTATCGGGTGGGAAGATGGGTCAGGGCAAGGAGTTTGCTGCACAAGGGTCGAGACCTCAATCAGCTCCCACAACCACTCCCACAGACGCAGTAGCTTCTGCACAACTGCTACAAGACACAGGGCAGAGGCAATCCCCAGAAGCCTGCGGGCCCCGTGTGGGCAGGCAGTGGGCAGCCCCGTCTCAAGCAACACGGAAAGCAACACCCAATACCTGGGGTAGTTTTCAGACTTCTTCGGGGCCCAGAATGCACGTGCACACGTGTGCGCGCGCACACACACACACACACACACACACACACACACACACACTCTCTCTTACAAGCAGGGTGCAGCAGCTTGGGCCTGTGATCCTAGCCCTTGGTAAGAGCGAAGATCACAAATTCGACGTCATCCTCAGCTACCTATGGACCTCAAGGGCAGTCTGTGGATGAGAGCTTACCTCAGGGCAGGTGTGTGTGTGTGTGTGTGTGTGTGTGTGTGTGTGTGTGTGTGTGTGCTCATAATCCAGAAGCAGACAAAGGTGGATCTCTGTGAGTTCGAGGCCAGTCTGGTCTACATGGTGAGTTCTAGCCAGAGCTCCACAGTAAGACACAAAAAGATCCCAGGAAACATAAAAAAGCTGGAGCAATGGCTCAGTAATCAAGACCACAGGCTGCCCATCGAGAGGACCTGGGTTTGATTCCCAGCACCCACAGGGCAGCTCATAACCTGTGGCCACTTCCAATGTCCTCTTCTGGGCCCTACAGGCACCAGACACACACGCAACATACATACAAATACACAGGCAAAACACACACACATTACATGGTTTATACAGCTTCACAGTATCGAAGGCTACACAGTAAGACCCTATCTCAAAAAATAAAATAAAATAAAACAAAACCAGCCGGGTGAGGAGGCGCACGCCTGTAATCCCAGCGCTCAGGGAGGCAGAGGCAGGCGGGATCTCTGTAAGTTTGAGGCCAGCCTGGTTTCCAGAGTGAGTCCAGGATAACCAAGGCTACACAAAAAAAACCCTGTCTTGAAAACAAACAACAAACCAAAACAAAGACAAAAAAGAAATAGGATTAAATGAGGCCATATAAGAAAGGGCTAGCATTTTAGCTTAGTGGTAGAAGCTTGACAATTGGGGAGGGGGCGGAGGTGGGCATGAGCATGGAAGAGAGACTATTTCTAAGATCCTGCAATATGCTGCCTTAATCTTGAACTTTCCAGCCTGTAAAATGAGGATGTGGTCTTCCTGACAGTTCTGGGAGTCAAACCCAGGCCCGTGTGCAATAGAGCTCAGCGCTTGCAGGCAGAGCAGCGGATCAGGAAGTCAAGGCTAGCCCTGACTACACAGCTACCTTGAATCTGAGGGTGGCCCTCTCTACATAAGATCTTGGGTCAAAAGGGTGGACTGAGGGCTGGAGGGAAGGCTTGGCAGTGAAGAACACTGGCTGCTCTTCCAGAGGACCCGGTTCCATTCCCAGCATCCACATGACAGCTAACAACTGTCTGCAATTCTAGTCCCAAGGAATCCGACTCCCTCTTCTGGCGTCCATAGGCCCTGCATGCAATGTGGTACACAGACATACATTCAGGCAAAACCCTCATACACATTAAAAAAAAAAAAAAATTCAACCTCAAGAAAAAAAAGTCACACACCTGGTGTGGCAACAGATGCCTGCAGTTTCAGCACTTGAAAGGAGGGAGGAAAACCAGAAAAGTGGCTCAGAGATTTGCAGAGATCCCAGAGATCTCAGAGGTTTGCCAAGTTCGGTTCCCAGCACCCATGTCAGATGGCTTCAACTACCTGTGAACCCCAGCTTCACTCCTCCGTGGGAGCACAAAGGCCCTTGTGCTTACATCTCTAGAGAAACCAGGAATGTTAGGTGTGCAGGACTCCTTCCAATGGGAAAGACGTAAAACCCTGTTCTTCTACCCAGAGAGCTGGGATTTGGGTGTGACCGGTGTTATCTGTTGGGCCAGGCCATATCAAGCTCCCTCAGCCAGGACGGGAGATGGCTAGCAATCTAAATGGCCCTTAAGACCAGGGGTTCCCCAAGCTTCCACAACCAGGACCAGAAGTGGCCAATAGCCCAAATGACCTCTACGCTATCTGTATGACTAAGTCAAGGACAGACCCCTCTTCAGGCCCAACCTAAGCTAGTACAGGTAGCCTGTACTAGAAACCATCTTCGTGGAAGAAATGACAAAATGACATATACCACGTGTTTCAACTTAATTAATGCACCAGGGATTCATTACACTAGGAAACTTTCTCCAAATTAGACTGTTTACATCTATTGGGAATAAGCCACCTGAGATCACATTCCCCAACATCCTGATCCAGGCTGAAGTCAATCTGAACTGAATTTTCATTTTCACCTCTTGTGAGGTTCCCTTTCCCGCCTGACAACTGCAGAGACTCCCTCAGCTCTGACGGTGGAACTGCACATACCCACACAGATACCCACACATACTGAAAAACTAAAAATAAACCTTTTGTTTAGTTTTTTTTTTTTTTTTTTTTAAAAAGGGTTTCTCTGTGTAGCCCTGGCAGTCCTGGAATTCCCTGTGTAGACCAGGCTGACCTCAAATTCACAGAGATGAGCTTGCCTCTGCCTCCAGGCTGCTGGGATTAAAGCAAACAGACAGATCTGAAGTCTCACAATGCTGGCCAGGCTGTGCGGTAGCTCTCAGGCTAAGTAAATTCCTGCCTGAGGCTTTCAGAGCATTTGTTTTAATGTGCAATGATCTTTTTTATTGATATGCATCTGCTACCCAAAAAAACACAACCAGCTCTTCATCCATCTTTCACTTTTATGTGAGCCCAATCAAAAGGAATGGCCTAGAACCTGCTAGGCCATTAATGACAAGCTTGGATCTGTCCCTCTTGCCTCCACCTCTGCAGTGCTGAATGCCAAGTGAGCAAGCACACAGCTGACGAAGTGTGGGCTTTGTGTGCTGGTAGGCAAGCACTCTACCAGCTGACGGGGCCACATCCCTAGGGTCTATTGGAAACCACCAATAAGCACTAGAAATGTCACAGAAACCCCAACCTGACACCAGAGAGCACAGGCTCCTGCCTAAAGGGGCTGACAGTCTTTAGATGACTTCAGAATTCAAGGCAGGGAATGATGCACATGGAAATCCACGGTGAAGGAAGGTCCTGTCAGAGAACAGGTAACCCGTGGACATAGTTCTTCGCTGTCAGGAAGGGATCTATTGCGCAGGGGCTGGCACAGGAGGGAGGCAGCCCCCATCCTTACCATCTCTGCATATTCCGTCTGCTCTCCTTCGCTGTACAATTCCGGGGGCAGGTTGTAAATCCGGAGGACATTGTCAGCACTATTGGTCAAGATACAGGAGCCATCGGGGGCCCTAAAAATACAGGCAAATTAGAACACTGGAGAGCTATCATTCCCAGGTGGAGGGCTCGAGAAGAGCCCCAGTTCTAGGGAAACATAAGCTCCTGCAGAGGGTGGTGAGACATAAGTCCAGCTACCCAAGAGGCTGAGGCGACGGGCCAAATTCTGGGCCAGTCTGGGCAACGTGGTGAGAACCTATCTCAAATTAAGGCAAAAGACGGCTAGCATGTACCTTAGTAGTGAGGTCCAGGCAAGACATCCTGGGCTAAACCCACAGGAGAAAGGAAGGAAAAAAACCTTAATTTCGGCACTCACCAGTATTCTATCACTAACCACCTTCACAGAAGTTTGGGGTAGGTTTCTTTTAAATATTCATTTACTTATGTATCCAGTGTTCTGCCTGCACGTAGTCCTGCATGCCAGAAGAGGGCATCAGATCTCACGACAGACGGCTGTGAGCCACCACGCAGGTGCTGGGAATGGAACTCAGGACTTTTAGAAGAGCAGCCAGTGCTCTTAACCTCTGAGCCATTTCTCCAGCCCCAGTTTGGGGTTTAACTTTCATTTGTTTTGTTTTCCCTCAAGACAGGGTTCCTCTGTGTAGTCCTTGATGTCCCGGAACTAGACCTACTGGACCTGTAGATCAGGCTGGCCTCAAACTCAGAGACCTACCTGCCTCTGCCTCTCAAGTGCTGGGATCAAAGCTGTGCGCCACATTCGCCCAGCTTTGTTCTTGTTTTAAGACTCTATGGACAAAGCAGGCCTCGAACTCCCAACCCTCCCTCAATTTCCCAGATGTTGAGATTACAAGATGGTCCCACCACGAGGGACCAAGTGTAGGTGGGCTTTAAAATGCAAATCTGGAAAGTGGCCATTGCCCTGCCCGTTATACTTACCACTTACAACCTTTCAAGAAGTTCTCGGGGTGGGTGCCGAACTCGGACCAGGACCCGCTGAGGTACCGGGGCGCCTGCGAGAAGCAGTAGCTCCAGAAGCTGGGAAGGACATGGGGAAACAACAAACGTGGGTCGTCAGAGAAACGGGTCTGGAATGAAGCTAAGGCCTGGTGGCTGTCGTTCTCACACGTCCAGGCGCCTCAGATGCCATGATCACTTACATGTCCCCCTCATCCACCGCAGCCGGCTCCTCAGACACTCCTTCCACGGCTTCTTCGGACGCCAGCTCAGGCCGGATCCTGTCTTCTACAGGAGGACTCGCGTTTCCAGAAAGTCCTTGCTCCTCGATTCGAGGACTCGACACACCGAGAGTACCAACTTCCACGGGAGCGGACGGAGAGGCTGGGTCCCCCTGCTGCGGCTCCTGGGACACAGCCGGGCCAGCCACGGCATCGGTGGCTGCCGGGGGCTGGTGGCCTCCAGCGCACGGCGGTGGCACCAGTTCAGAGTCTGCATTTGTATCCACGGGGGAAGCCTGGGGCGCTGGGGCCGGAGCCTGGTCAGCAGCGAGGCTGTCCGGGGCTAGGAGTCGCTCCTCCGACGTCTTCATTCCGTAGAGCGAGCCCGCGGCGGGCAGGGCCGGGCAAGCCCCCACGCGCGCTACCGCGCGAGGCCACGCTGCAGCGCAGCTCCAGGGACGCGGGCGCAGCGCCGCACCGACCCCGCTCCCCACTTCCGGGAGCCCCGCAAACGAACGCAGACGCCGGCGAGCCCTGCGCCGCGAGCAGAGCGCCGCTAGTGCTTCTCGCTCTCGCGGGAGCCGGGCCTCCTTCCGATAGGCTCCCGCATCCTGAGCGGAGGCTGGGCGGGAAGGCGGGAAAGAGCGAGGTTGCCCGGCCCCAGAGGCTTCTGGGAGCTGTAGTCCAAACCCTCGGCCTGGACGAGAAGCGCGCGGGCGCCCCCTACCGCGTCCTGGGGTTATTCTCAAGGCGCCTATCCTCCCTGGCCCGCAGAGGGCGCTGAAGTGGTCCGGTTTCGGCCCGCCTTGACTGCGTGTCGGCAACCTCCAAGGACGGCGCCCGTCCCCCTCCGCGCTCTGCTCATTCAGTATTTATTATCAAGTTCTTCCTTCCTACCCAGCACTGCTCAGGGCTCCGGAGAGGCCGCCGACTAATGGCATCGTGCATAAGCTCTCTGTCCCCGCGGGGTTTTCGAGGTTGTGAGACTGAGGGCCACGAACGCCATCTCTTCAGAGGGCGGGGAGGACTGCACGGGAAGCGAAAGAAGAGGCTGCGGTGTGAGGATCTCGGAGGGCACCGCAGGCCGAGGTCTTACGGAAGGCCTCTCCAAAGCGCCATCTCGGCTGAGGAGAGGGGCGACGGCAGGAGGGCCCCTCGCCGAGGGTTCGAGGCCGGCCCTGGCTGCAGAGGCCGCCCACGGCCGTCCAGCTCGGTGGGGAAGAGCAGAGCTCAGCGCACGGCAGACGCTGCGCGCTTCATTCTCTCCGCCCTTCCTGCCGGACCCGGCGGCGGCCTCGGCCTCGGGGCGCCGACCCCGAGGCGCCCCGCCTCCGCCTCCTGCCCTCAGCCCGCAGGACGCCTTGCCCTTACTTGCCATGGCGGCCGTCCAGCTTTGTGCCAGCAGTCTCGCGGGGCTTGCTGGGATTGGGACTTTCCCCTCCCATGTGCTCACACGGGCTGGAAGTTCCAGCGCTCGGCGTCCCCGCAGGTAGCTCCGCGGACCGGGGCGCCTGGCAGCTCGGCCCGCTTCCCCGCCAGGTGACACGCCGCCCCGAAGGCCCGGCGCTCGGCCCGCACGGTGAGGGGGCGGCGGGGGGCGGGGTGGGCAGGACCCACCGTGGGTGGGCGGCGGGGGCAGGGAGGGGGCACGGCCGGGCTCGCTCCCGGAAAGCACGCACAGGGTCGGGCGCCGGGCCCCCCGCCGGCCCGCCCGCCCCGGGTCAGGGGCGCCGATCCCGAGTGCAGCGGGGGATCGGGGCAGCGGGCGGCCGAGGCCCCGCGGCCTCCGGACCTTTGTCCCGAGCGGCTCTCTCCCCCGCCGGCCGCGCCTCCCGGCCCGCCGCTCTGTTATTGTCCGCCCAGGAGGCGCGGGGAAGCCGGGCGCCCACCGCCCTCCCCCCCGGACCGCTCGCATAGGCCGGCCGTCCCCGCCGGAAAGGCACTTAGGGTATCCGGTTTTGGGGTGAGCCGTCCCCCCCGAGGACGCGGTCCGCACGTCCCGAGAGCGGAAGGGGCGGGCCTTGGCCAGCGGCTGCCCAGGTCCTGTGTGCGGTGCCCCCGGGGGCCGGTTCCCGGCGCGGGGTGGCGGGGGCGCTGCCCGGGTGTGCCGCACCCCCAACGTCCTGCCTGTCTCCCTTCTTTCCTTCTTTCCTTCCTTTCGGTAAAAATAGCATTTTCAGCGGTGCGTGGTGGCTCACGCTTTTAATCCCAGCGCTCGGGGAGGCAGAGGCAGGTGGATCTCCGTGAGTCCGAGGCCAGCCTGGTCTACAAAGCGAGGCCAGGACAGCCAGGGCTACACAGAGAAACCTTGTCTCGAAAGACTAAATAAATAAAATAGTCTTTCCACACAGCGCTTGGAAAGGAGAATAAATTTCTTTTTGTCCCCCTGCAGGTTTAGTGGTTTTACTGTAGAGAATAAGCGAGCAATAGGGAGACAGGACCTTAAGGTATAAAACTCAGAGGAAGCCTAGGTAACTCAAGTTTATAGAGAAGTGTACTAGTGACTACATTTAAGTCTAAGCGTGAAGAGGACCCCAGCAGTGAAGGACAATCCCGTGGATTGCTATGCAGATAGGCGAACTGTTCTTGTAATCTCTTGTCTAGGTTTGGTGTCTAGAATGTGAAAAGAAAGGGGCGGGGCCCTGAGCCCCACCCCTACTTACAAATGCAGATATATGTAAATATTTGCTTTTTTTAATAAAGACAGCTTGGAGAACTATCGTTGTCTACCAAGCTCTTCAGCTCTTCTGGAAAATTTAGTGCAGTGGCTGTTGGGAGCTAGGATGGGTTTGCCAGTGTTTAAATCATCTGTAGCTAAGTTGTGACCTAATGAGGGAACACGAGATGAGGGAGACGTGGTGCCGCTAGTGCCAGGACTCCTCGTGGGTGCTAAGGCGAGAGGATTGCCATGAGTTGAAAACCAACTTGGGCTACATGACAAGACCTCGTCAAAGAACAAGGCACGGACATGCAGCTTGTGGCCGATGCTTACTCTGACAAGCGTGCCAGGACCACGAAAACCAAGGCTGAACCCAGCGCGGCAAAGGAGGTTGTCTTGGTGTCAAGCAGTGATCTGTGTTATTCACAGCAGGAAAGTCCCCGCATGGCTCAGCAGGTGGGAGGCAGTCGACTGTACGCTCCATCCTTTCCTCCATTCCTTTGCTCCTGCTCGTGGTTTGGGTCTTACTGAGTCTTGTTTGTTTGCTTGCTTGTTTTTGAGACAGAGTTTCTCTGTGTAGCCCTGGCTATCCTGGACCTCACTATGTAGACCAGGCTGGCCTGGAAGAGATCGACCTGCCTCTGCCTCCTGAGTGCTGGCATCAAAGGTGTGTGCCGCCACCGCCACCACCACCACCACCACCACCACCTGGTTTATTTTATTAGACTTGGAACAACCCTCACAGCAAACTGAGTGCCTAGATTCCAGCACTGCGGAGATTAACACAGTCACTGATGATTTTAAGACCAGCCTGGAATACATAGTGAGACTCTGAAAGGTGACAGGGCGAGGAATAGGCTCCAAAAGTTACATTTTCCAAGGTGAAGTCCTATCAGAAGAGACAGAAGTAATTTTGACCCCTTATTTGTTAAGTTGGTATGGTTTGGAGACCTAAATAAACCCTGGTGAGCTTTTAGGGAAAAGGCTAACCAGGAACACCTAACTTCACATTTTCTTTGGTTGGTTTGGTTTCTTGTCTCTGGCAGATAGAATGCACCAAGTGTCTCTGTCTTGGTGCAGGAGTGTGTTGGGAGACAAGCCCAAAATTTGCCAGACTATTTTAGTTACACACAATAAGCAATGTGTGGGCTCTTTCCCACCCCGCTCTTGCTTAATAAAGCTCAGACTCTCTCTGACCACCAGCCTTAGTCCCATGAACTCGCTTCCTGAGACCTGCCTAGGTCTTGTGATTTTTTTTTTTTTTCTTATGGTTGCTGTCTTTCACACATTTCATAGCTGTTTATAAAATAATAGTCCGAAGCCAGGCTCACACCTGTGGACAGAACACTCAGGAAGCTGCAACAGAATTGCCATAGAGCCTGGCTACAGAGTGAGTCTGTCTCCAAAGTAAAAGGTAATAAATAAAAAATCTGGCGCTGTGGCACACACCTGTGATCCCAGCACTCTGGGAGGCAGAGGAGTGAGTCCAGGACAGTTGGGGCTACACAGAGAAACGCTGTCTCAGAAATAAATAAAGAAAAAGTTTTTGGAAAATAAAATAATGGTCCACTTATATAGTGCGTGTGCGTGCGCTCGTGTGTTTGTGGTTGTGTAGCAGTGTATATGTAGAGGTCAGTTGACGACAAGATTTAGTTGGGAGGTAATCTTGGTACCAAGCGCCTTTTCCAGTCTCGGACCCATATGTTTTCTGATTTATAAACTATTTAGAGTTTTTCTGCTGATCTCTTTCTGAAGCGCTTGTGAAGACCGTTTTATCGTGTGCCCCCCTCTAGCGGGCTCTGTTCTAAGTTCTCCGACCCCACCCAGAATAACGCTGACGGTGTTTTTGTGCCCCGCCATCCCTGTCCAGTTCTAGGAAGTGTACCTAGACGTGGTTTTGTGTTAAATTATACCAGACCCTCCCTCGTTACGTTTTAGAACCAATGCCCTCAAGACCCACCTACCCCATCCTTCCCCCAGTGCTGTGAGTTGAACCCAGGGCCTGGGACATAGTAGGCAAGACCGCTGAGCTACACTGCCAGCCCAGAAGATATTTATAATAAACTCTGAAACACTGGGAGAAAATTTTGTTCCGAGTAGGATGTGGCTTCTGACTTCCCTGGTTCCCATCCTTGGGTGGCGGGCTGATGCAGCCTTGTCCCTTCTGTTTGGGGGCTGGAGGGTGGCCCTGGACAAGCCGTGACGCTGGGACTCCAGGTCTTCAGCTCCGTGCTCAGCATGGAGCACTTACAACAGAACCCTCTCCTCTGGAGGGGAAACACAAATAAAACAGTTCTTCACAGACGCTTCAGAAACATACTGGGTAACAAATACGATCTGCAGAAAAACTACATAGTTTATGTAAGTCAGAAGACATACTGGTCTGTGACCGGCAAGGGCGCCGGCCCCCACCTGCCTGCCTCGCCTCGCCTGTCCTGCCTCCTCAGCGGAGCAAATGAGATGAGCCCCCTGAAAAGGCAGGCCTGCTGGGCCTGGGCTAGCAGCCAGAGTTGTGCTCAAGCCTCTTCCGGGTTTATTGCCTTCCCACCTAGTGTTTTGTATTTTGTTAAACATCCCATCTCCCTGTGCATTTGACTTGATTTTAAATTAAACAAAAAACAAACAACAAAAAAAAACCCTTAATGTTACAGCCTCCTGATCTTGTGCTTGTGAGAAGTCCCTGCTCAAAAATGGTACATGTTGGCGACTGTTCATTTCAGGAAACACTGAAAGCGTAATTGCTACTAATGGCCTGAGTGACAGGCCAGAGAGACTGCCTGTGTGTGCCTGTCACACACACACTCGCGCGCGCGTGCACACACACACACACAGTTCCCCGACCAGGTGAACTTGCGGGAGTGGGGAAGCCGTTAGTACCACAGAAGCCCTGCCAGCTCATAGAGGCTGTTAAATAGCCTGTGGGTAGGAGGCAGTCATATTAACACATTAACATTGAGAGCTCCTCCACACGCCAGGCACCTGCCTCCGTTTACACGTGTGTGTTCAGGTGCTGTTGGAGGTGCTGAACCTAGGGCTTCACAGACTAGGTAAACACCACTGCTGAGCTCCACCCTCGGAAATGGTGACCCTCTCAGACAGGTGCATCTTACATGAGGGTAACAGTGAAGTGTCCAGCTCAGGACCTTTGCCCTCCGAACACCCACTCATGAATGTCTACAGTTTTAATTATTAATCTCAAGAAGCTTTGGGCCTCCCTTGGGCTTTTCCAACGCCAGCCACCTCAGGACGCAGACTAGAGGGGCTACAGTATAGACCTGCCTTAGCTGATTGCAAGAGACATGCAAAGAGCCCGCCACGCGCTGGATTGCCTGGGTGGCCATCATTAATAATGAGCTCGTTTGCCTTCCTTCTGTGTGCTCTTGGCAGGTGTCATGATGGAGGAAAGGATTTCTCAGGGTGTTTATTTATTACTTGTACAGCATCCTGCCTGCATGTGTACCAGCAGAGGGCACCAAATCTCTCTGTAGGTGCTTGTGAGCCACCAAGTGGTTGCTGGGAGTTGAACTCGGGACCTTTGGAAGAGCAGCTGGTCTCTCTAGTCAGAGTCTTAAGTAAATGAAGCGGTGTTTGACCCACATCAATGCAGAAGTGAGTATT